CTCGTAATTATTTTGGGGGTGGGTGACCCCCTGAGGGCCCATGCTGAAAAAGATGTTGTTGGGGCTTTTGTGGGTTGGTGCCCTTGGCTTCAAAATATGATAAAATATGTCTAGGCCCAGAAACATGGCACCCTCCCTCCAAATAAATATATATATATAATTATATATATATATATCTTCAGGATAAGCCAAGAAGCCTGAAATGGGAATAGCGGAATGCTAGTCTTGCCCTGTGGTTCGCAGTCCCTGGTCAAATTGGAAGGCTCCAAAGTATAATAAAGTATGCAAAATGTATCAAAATGTCTATAGGCCCAGTCTAGAAAAGCGCAAAAAGGACCTCCATCCACAAACCAAACCCCACAAAAAACAATTATATAAAAATGCTTGAATCTATCTGTCTTCCAAAAGGTGGCTTCGGCCAGTTGTGAAGGAGGTAGGACTCCAAGCAATGCTCGGGTGATCATGGCAAAGCTCTTGTGATTGTCGGTCGCAAGGGCTAGTGGTGGGATGACATGGTTGCCTTCAATACAGCTTTCAACCAATCTGCCCATAGCCTGCAGCTCGTCCATGGCGCTGGCATTGTGCCTCCTGGGCACCATCTCAATGAGGAAGCAATCCGAGCGGCGATCGAGTGCCTTCACCACTGTGCAGACTGACACAGGGGCTAAGTTTTCTGACTTCTGGTCTTCGAGAGCCTCTGGGTGCAGTCGGGAGTGTTGCGGGTGGACACCTCCCACAACTATTGGATCCTTCGGGTTCTCCAGCAAGCCGTACAAGAGAGAGAACGACTGCGAGAAGACGCATTCGTCCCGAATCAACATGTAGTTGCCAGTGCCTTCAAGCTGAAGGCAAGACAACGCGCTGGCAGCGCTTTGAACTAAGCGCTCACCCTCTGCAGTGAAGAAGTCTGGCAAACCAGGCGCAACAAGAGGTACTGCATACCAAGATCTCACCGCTTGTCGCGGTATGCCAAAAGCGCGCAGAAGCTCTTGGTTCTTCATTCTGTGACCCAGAATATACCCCAATTCCTGCCACTCTCACATACTCATCAGTATAACTACATATAACTACATACATAATGCCAAGTGATGCTAAGTATATCTAAAATGAACATGAAATAAAATAACATATCATAAAAGATCAAGCAATAGAAACTATATCAGAAAAGTCCTGGATCCCAGCCGGGCAAATGTGCGCAGTGTTTCTTGTTGATGATCGAAGCACTTTGCCTCTGGAGATTTTGTTCGCCTTCTCCAGAAGTGCTGGGACCAACACACGGGTATCTTGATCAGCCCGCATGCCACCACTCAGAATCAAATCCTTGGACCGCCAATGACCGCCACATAGAACAAGAAAGTATAAGAAAGTTATGGCAACAATGGAGGACACACAAAATGCCTTGGAAATCAATAGACACAAATAGACAGAGAGACACAACACAACAACGTGTTTAAAACCTTCTAAGCACAGGTAGTTTGCTGCTACGCGGATCTCAGTGCTGGTGAGCTTGCCATTCATGATGGCAGATGCAAAGGCATTGATCTTGTCACGCGATTCTGCCGGAACACCAACGATCACACCTGGGGTGAGGTAGTTCAGCCTGCAGTCAAGATAGCGAACCAGGGACGGCCTCATCAATTTCCTGGGCAAGCACACCATAATTGTCTTGATGGTCTTCAAGGCGTCACAAAAGCTGATGGTATCTAGCTTGTTGAACTGCAGGTCTGGGAAGGCCTGAAGCATGAACTTGGCTTGGAGCTCTTGGGCTTGCTGGTCACAGCGTAGAGTGATGTGGACTAGATCCACCCATGCAATGCGCTCAACCCAAGTAAGAATCAGATTCATCAGCCTGGAAATATCTGGTAATGACAGTCAGAAATAATCAGAAATAACATGAAACTTTGATTTTATGGATTTCCATGGGTTTCCACTCCAGCACAAATACGCAAACATACGCAAACAACGCAAACGTTCTCAAGCTATGCAGGGAAACTTGCCAGAATCAACAAGGCGGCGGCACTTCTCGCAAGGAGCAAACCCGGTTGGAACGCTTGATTCTTTGCACTGGGTGTGCTGGATCCATATGCGATTGCTTCTGTCGACTTCCTAGCAATCCGTTGGCATTCTGAAATCTAAGATCTAATCAGATTATGGATGCTTCAAACATCTATAAATATATATATATCTTTAATTAAACATTTTCAAACAATCGCGAACAACGATTTGGAGAAAAGAAAAGAAATGGAAAAAGATTGAGCAAGTCAGGAAAAGCATGGAAAAGCATTAAAAAGTCTAAGGCTCCACCCAAATCGAATCCAGAAGAGAAGGCGACAGGCCAATGCATCCGCTGTCAATCCACATTTGCATTTCCACCATCCTCGCACCCATCAAACTAGCAGAGAAAGGGCTCTCTGACAAGCAAACACCCTTGCACACCTCATTGATTTCGGCCCTGCATCCAGATTGCGCGTCCCACAGTGGGAGCTTCTGCTGGTGTACCTTGCTCTCCTCATGGCATTTCCTGAGCGCAAGGATGTGAACCCTCAACACCCTGTAGAAATATCATTAAATATTTAAAGGGTTTCAGCCCACCCAACCACCACCAAAATAGTTTCCAGAACCCCCCCCCACACACACAACCCCCTAAATTTGCCAAGCCAGTAGAAGAATAGAATTATCTAGTAGGTTTCACTCCACCCACCCGCCACCAAAATAATTTCCCATATTTTCCAGAGCCCGCACCAGCCCTTAAACATTGTATAAAAATTGCCAAGTGAAAAGGAAGATTCAGCGCCACATTGTTGGTGAGATGTGGAAGATGAAAGTAGGTCCCGCAGCACAAGCATTGGGCGGGCCTTTTGCGCATCTCTACTTCCATAAAGCCAGGATCTGTTTTCTTGCGAGATGGCAGCCTGTCACACGCTTCTTTCTCTGTGAGGAACCTATACATTCCTGGCCGGTGTTGCTCAAGGAAAGTCTCTAGGTTGAAAGGCGAGCTGGTGCCGGCTGGCGGTCTGCCTGGCTTAGCCCGCTTTTTCGGCGGGCTATATACCACAAGGGCATCTTGCAGCTGCGCTGCTTCCTGTTCCAGACTTACGTTGACCCTCTTTTTCTTGTCAGGTGTATCGGCAAGGTCTGTAGCATCTAGGGCAAAAGTCTCCACGAGCCCCTCACAAATAGTGACGTGCGGCTTTAGACTATAGGGTGAAGCACCGGGGTTGGCGCCAGGAGGCAGGGGCTTTCTAGCCTCCTGGCGGTATTGTTGCTTCCGGGGAATGCAATCAACGCGCCCCGGAAAGGGGGTTAGACTGATTTGGCAAGATCTAATCTCAGAACCCCCGGAAGATCAATCCTCAGGAACCACAACTCTAAATCTCAGCAACTCCTGCATTAAAGGAGAAAAGTGTAAAGCCCACAACTTGTGTTGGGCTAGTTGTCTTTCTTTTTTAGCGCTGGAGAAGCTGTCTATGCGCAATATTCTTCTACCCTAGCCTAAATATTCGGCAAGGTCTAAGGAAAACGGTCGTGCGCCGATGAACAATCCCACTTTTTTCCGCAGAATCCAGCTTTCAGTTTTCAGCAGGTTCCACCATTCGAAAACCTCAGCCGAGGTCAGTGGATGACTTCAGAAAATGAAGTGCAAAAAAAATCAAAAAGAACCGGTGTCGAGTCAACCGCAATGCCACGAAATTACATTCTCAGCACTATCTCGTAAAACTCAAAAACAACTCCTGAGCAACTAGTGTCAGCTCTTGTAAAGACGTCCGACAGTTTTTTTCGTCCGACCTGAGAAGCATGGAAAAGCACGACCCATTGTCTGAGTCATGATCGTGGTGCGATGGCCTTCACACCGGCTTCAAACCAATGGGCATGCAGAGATTGTTTGCTGGTCTGCGGTTGCAAAGCTAACAAACCAAAAACCACACAGACACCATTGAAGACGCAAATACATGCACAAATATACACGGTGGTTGCAGTGGTTGCTAGAAAAACTTGCGCAGTAACAACATGTCACCCTCGGCCTACTAACCGCCAACCTTTCCATATGTGTATACGGCGTATACGTAGCGCAACGAGCGCCAGCGCGACTTTCAAACTTCGCCCCTGAATTAGACAAGGATTGGCACTTGCAAACTTGCTGTGTCAAATGATTGAATTTGCCAATTCCTCGAGGACAAGCGAAGAATACAACATATGTTTAACACGTGTCAGGTTTACTGCTTGCTTTGAATGCCATCAGCAAGTGTGAAGCAAGTGGGGAAGGAGTGTCACATGTCACATCTGTGCTGACATCGTAACCGTTACCGTTAAGACAAATCTTTAATGTGAAGTTCAAGTTCTGAAGTAGTGAAATCCGAATCTGGTAGCCGGCAAAGCGATAATGCACATTAAACTGGCAGGGTTTGTTGGAGGCCGTTGGGTGTTTGTCTTTAAAAAACAGTTTGTTTGTATTTCAGCTTTCAGCTGGTACTTCAGATTCGATTTGAATTCGTTCTGACAGCTCTCACTTCAGCAAATGCTTGGCTTGGCTCAAAAGCTTTTTCTTCTCTCGATCAGCCTTTTTCTCCTCCTTGGACATGTTTGGAAGCTCGGTCTGGAGGCCCTTCGCTTCCATATTCGATTTCCTCTCCGCAAGAGCTGATTGAAAGCCGACAGGATAGAAAGGGGGGTCCTCAGTGCCCACGGCCTCAGTAGCAGCTCTGGGCGCCTTCTTGCCTTTGGGCACGAACTTGGTCAAAGCAACCTCTGTCTCACCGGCCTTTTGTGCTTTCACCAGGACAGCCTTTACAGGGGTCAACCTCAGGCTGGCAACGTGGCAAGTCATTTCCCATACTTATATAACTG